CAGGGAGCTTTGATGATATTAAAAAACCACGGCATCCTAATTGGCTTTGTGTGCCTGATGGGGGAGGGGAGGGACGGGCCTCGGCTCGTGGGGTGGGCTCTCTGGGGCAGTTTTATACTATGTTTTAACCGGCACACTCTTGCAGTCTTGCTGTGTGAGTCCTGCTGACCGGAGGGTCATGTGGGGAGTTGACTTTGCTGCTTCCCTGTCTGGAATAATTTTAAGAGAAGGCAAACTGGCTTGCGAACAAGCAGAGCCAAGAGACAGGTAGCCCCCTCACTCCTGCCAACTTGGAAGGAAGCCAGTTTGGGAAGTGTGGCGTGAAACTCTGCCCTTGGGAGGAAGGGGGCAGCCAGCAAATCACATTACTGGGGACTCATTTTCTCCTCCAGCACATGTGCGCATGTGTGTGAGCACATGTGCGTAGTGGGAGCAGCACGCAAATATATAAATCACTGTGTCAGATGACAGAGCCATCTAATCCAATATTCTGTAAGCAGCTCGCCAGCTCTAGGAAGCTCACAGGCAAGGTTTGTGAAGGCGGAGATGTTTTGTAAGAAGGGGCCTGGCTCCTGGTTCGGGCCAGTAGCCCATCCAGTCCAGCACCCTCTTCTCACAATGGGTGACCCCCAGGTGCCTCTGGGAGACCTGCAAGGAGGACCTGAGCACAAGAGCACAGCTATGTAAGCCAGGCGCCAAATGGCTCCTTAAACCAGGGTTACAGTTGCCAAAATTGAATGTCTAGTTTCCACTTTGGGGCCAGACTGCTCAAAAGTCGTATTTTTCAATACAACTTTTTTGTTCCCGAATTTCTTTCTGATTGTGCAGATAAAATATCACAAATAGAATTCTAAAGGATGTGTTGCTAGTGTGTGAAAACAGACAAGATCCCCAGGCAGGCCCCTCCAGGCGGTGGAGACGTCAGCTGGCACCTGGGCATCTTCACTTGGTCGCAAGTGGCCAGTAGTCAGGTGCAAAATGTGCCCGGCACCTGGCAGGTTTTGAACGCTGGCGACAATCGCTAGTGGTTGTGGATAGCCGCCTTCTTCATGAATTTGTCCACGTCCTCTTTTGTGGGAATCAATTCCCTACTTTTAACAATGTGGTTTCTCTGCTCTTTCTCCACAACACCTGATATTTGGAGGTATACTTCCTCTGTACATGGAGGTTTTGTGTTGTCCTCTTTGCTACTGATAGACCAGGCAATGTTGGTACCCATTTAGCCTTGCTGCTGCCTTTTTGTGTGGATTGCCTGCTGCTGGCAGGATTCAATATGTGCGTGGAGGGGCACTTATTAGCCCCAGAAGCCTTTTCTCAGATTACACATGGGGAATTGAAACTGAGTCACTTGCATGCTGCCACTCAAGTTTGTGGCTGGGTGGGGATTTGAAGCCCCCCAAGACTATGAACCTGTGCAGAGTGCCTTTCCCTCACTATTGGGTAAAACCACAGCCGGTGCAGCATTGCACATTGGGGCAGATTAGGAGACCTTTGTGGCAGTGGAAGTCTTCAGTTGTGGTCTGCCTTGGCTCAGAACTAAGCTCTGGTGGCTGGCAAGGGGGATTAAACCCAGCATCTCAAGTTGGAGGCAAAATGTAGGAAGCTGTCTTATTCCATCAGTCTTATCTAAGCTCAGTATCATCTACACTTGCTGGCAGTGACTCTCCAAGGTTTCAGATCTGGGAGAAGAGGAATGTTTTTGCCTGGCACTTACAGATATATAATGAAGGCGCCCGACAAGCCTCCCTGGGGAGAGCATTCCACAAGCAGGGAGCCACCGCAGAAAAGGCCCGTTCTTGTGTTGCCACCCTCTGGATCTCTCATGGAGGAGGAGCACAAAGAAGGGTCTCAGATGATGATCACAGGGTCCAGGTTGGTTCATATGGGGAGAGGCAGTCCTTGAGGTATTGATTACCTACCACAGAACTATGGCACTCCCCCTAATCAAGTTTGGGGTGTTGCCAACCTGATGCTCTTCACAGTTTGTTAGACTGCAATTCCTACCTGTCCCTCCCAACAACCTCTGGAGGGCACCAAGTTGGCAAAGGCTGGCCTAGAGTTTTGGGATTGGACTGGGGAGAGCTGAAATTAGCTGTCTTGTTCAGAACAATTTTCTGGATTTATAAAGTCCTGAAATGAAATAGTATACAATTACTTGGTTGGCTGGTTCTCAGCCTGGTCTCTCCATTCTCTCCTTCCTGTCCGGAACGTGAGTGTTCACGTTTGTTTGTAATTCTCCATCCTCCCCCCCCCCTTCCACTGTGCTTTGCTGGATGCTCAGCTTCTGATTTGGAGGGCTGCGCAGAGAGGGGCATCTGAGGCCCTGTCTGCACTTGTGTGCTTTAACCATTTTCAGACTGTCATGGTTAACCAACCTGGGAACATAATTCTGCAAAGGGGGGGGGAGGGGAGAGAGCGCATTCTTGATGCCCTTGAAAATCTTGTCTTTCCAGAGTTCTACAGATCTCAAGCCAGGTAAGATTTAGAGGATCTCAGGCTGCTGCTGTTGGATTGATCTAGCTATTGGCTATTCAGAGGCTGTATTCCAGATGTAGACAAATGTATTGGCTCAAGCGTGTGGGCTAGCCCTGCCCCTGAATGTCAGTTAGATTCAGAAGTGATGGGGTTTAAGCACATTCTGCACATGCTCATGGGCTTCAGGTGGAGAAATGGGAAAGACTCAGAACAACTTCGGAACATAGTAAGCTGCCTTTAACTGAGTCAGGCTGTTGATCTATCTTAGCCAGATTCTGAAAGGAACCCTTGATCAATACAAATTAAGCAGCTGCTGTGGCTCTGTTGCGCTTGGATGTGATTCACCCACAGGTGTGCGGCAGGAAGTTGTGCCGTGCTCTCCTTGGGAGAAGTGAATGCCTGTTTCTGCAGAACAGGAGTTTGAAAGTGACATTTTCTTGAAGAGGTGCTATCTGTGCAAATTGAGCCAGGTATTCTGGACTTGCACAGCAAGAGGCAGGTTGCTCCTTCAAAAATTGTGTCAGGGTTTTTTTGGTTGTTTCCCCCCAGAATCTAGTTTCTATGTTTGAAGCCAGAAAAAGATTTTCCTGGGTTTGAGCATATGGCAGATCAAAAAGGATTTGGTTGATTCGGCCAACTCTATGATTCTATGTATCTACCTTGTTCTGCCTAATCCTACTGTAGAGAAGACCAGTTTAAATATGGAAAAAATGCCTTGCTACTCTTTTTCTTCCCAAAGTTAATATTCCATGGCGAACAAGTTGGAAAGAAAGCGATGAGGAACTTATTCTATCAAATTAAGCCAGTGTAGTTCTGCACTGTTGGATGGTTTTTCTCTGTGGTGCCCACCCCATTCCAGCTGTGGTTAGCAAACCCAAGAGCAAAATGTAGCAAGGAGGCTGTTAGCACAACAAGTAATCCGGCCAAGCTGGGCCTGCACGCAGCACAACAAGCCCACCAGCCATTTGACCCGAGGGAACCCTTAACAAGCATTGTGGTTGGTTGGCTGGTGAAATTAAACCAGCAAATTATTATAGCAGTTAGGTTTTCTTTCTTGAGAAACATTACAAATATTTTTAAGTCTTAGGACAACAATCAAAACTGCTGAATTATTAGTATACATTTATATTTCACCTTTCATACTCCTTCTCTTTATTATATCTTCACAACCCTGGGAGGGAGGTTGTGCTGAGAGATGGTTGGCTGAGGGTCGCCCCCAGCAAGTGGCGTGGCTGAGTGGGATTTGAACCCGGCTCCCCAGGCCCTGGTCCAGCACTCTAACCACCACACGGGCCACAGCATTTATTTCCCCGAGTGCCCAGGCCGCTTCTGGAGAATTTAGGGATAGGGTGACGTGAGTGGGATATGAATTGTGGGGTGTATGAAATGGTTTAATATAACTTGGGGTAATGCACGGGGAGAATGGAATTGATTCGGAGTAAGACATCTTGGGGAATTAATTATGGGTAAATGAACTGAAGAGGAGCTAATTCACACTCCGCCACTACAGTAGTTCAGTTTCCCCCATTTCTCCAGAATCACTCTGGGCACTTGGGAAAAGATCATGGCTTGTAGTGTGTGTATATTCACCTCACTCTTGACTCTGCTTAAGAGTTTTGTGGTGGGGGCTGGCCTGCTCCTAAAAACAATTTGAGAAGAGGACGTGGCGTGAGTGTGTGTGTAAGTAAAAAGCAGGTGTTTGACAACCAGCCTCTCCCAGCCTGATAGCCTCCACATGGGGATAATAGGAGTTGTGGTCCAAAACCAATCACCCTAAGAAGTAAAACCTCTCCAACTCTGCAAAAGAAGCAGCTGCCCAAACTGCACCAAAAAACACAGAAGAGCACACATGCTTGCACATTGACATTCACCAGCTGGAAGTGGTGGCTTGAAGGAGCCTTCACAGATCAAATCTCCCCCCCTCCCCCGCCGCCTTTAAAAAGAAGGTCTTCTCGTCTGCCTCCAGCCTAGGAAATGCATTCATAGCCTGCTGTTCCTCTGTCCGAATTCCCCAGCTTGAACTCTGCTCCCAAGGCTGAGAGTCTTGGTACACCTCAGATCAGAAACCATTATCAGCATCACAACCTTAATGGGCACATTAGTGGTTACCTTTTTTAATGCTCTGGGCTATATTTCACAATGACTCTCTTTCAGGTCAGTGTCCTGTGATGTCCAGGAAACCCTTTTCTTGATATAGACACACAGGAAGTGGAATTTCAGAATTGGACAAGTGCATGAAGGGGGTGGTGATGTATATGTGCTGGGGGGTGGGGTGGGTCCTTCCATTTCCAGCCCTGGTTACTCACAGCCTGACTCATCCTCGCTGCCACGTGCTCCTTCCCTTCAAGCAGGAGCCGATCATCGCAGTACCTGAGTGGAAACTCTCTCAATGCCCCCTTTGTTCCCCTCTGCATCCTCTTTCCCTCCCCCTTCCTTTCCCACCATCCGATTCTGACACTGTTCATTCATAATTGAGGCCGCTGTAACCTTAGCCAGGCTAACCTCCTTCCTTCCATTGTTGTCAGGGCCCCTGACGGAGCGAGAGGAAGGCATCGCAGCAGGAGCCTCCTCGGAAGGCAGCGGGAGAAGCGGGAGCCTTGCGTCCTGGTCAGCATGGCCGCCAGCCCAGCCCTGGGCATGTGTTTCCTGGCCTCTGTAGTTCTGAGTGTGGGCGCCTCCTCGGTTAGCAACTGGTGGAACCTGGTGCCCCGGAAAACAGTCCCCTACAAAGGTGAGTCAAGTGCGCCTTTTTGACCCAACCCGTATGCCAGGGTGAAAATGGAAGCTCGATAGATGTCCACTGTGTGCTTGCATATCCGCAACAGAGACCTAGATAACATCTCCCTTAAGTGGGCAGTGAGGTTACAGGCTTTCCTCTCCCCTTCTCTTCTATTTTAAATGCGTATTGGTGGCTTTATAGAAATCACAAATGCATAGTGTTTATTTTAAAAAAGCAGCCGCTGCCCCTGAAAAGCAGAGGGCCTTCTTGGTAGTGGCGCCCGCCCTGTGGAATGCCCTCCCGTCAGATGTCAAGAAAATAAACAACTACAGTCGTATCTCGGGTTAAGAACTTAATTCGTTCTGGAGTTCCGTTCTTAACCTGAAACTGTTCTTAACCTGAGGTACCACTTTAGCTAATGGGACCTCCTGCTGCTGCCCCCACACGATTTCTGTTCTCATCCTAAAGCAAAGTTCTTAACCCGAGGTAATATTTCTGGGTTAGTGGAGTCTGTAACCTGAAGCGTCTGTAACCTGAAGCGTCTGTAACCTGAAGCGTCTGTAACCTGAGGTACCACTGTATCTGATTCTTAGAGGACATCTGAAGGTTTAGGGAAGTTTTAAATGTTTGATGTTTTATTGCTTTATTATTATTAATATTCTGTTGGAGCCGCCCAGAGTGGGTTGGGAAACTCAGTCAGGTGGACAGGGTATAAATAATAAATTACTATTATAAGTATTATAAACAGTAATATTTTAAAACAAGGTTGTAATGGTGACCAGACTGAACAAGTGACTGTAACAGATGCTAAAGCTACAATGCAAAAGTGTCCAGTAGTTTTCTCTATAGCACATTTTAACTTTACAGATCTATTACTCTGGCCTAATGTCTTACCCACTCTTTGGAAGACTCCAGATAAGACTTTTTCATGTCTGAAACCCTTTGTGAACTGGAAATGCACCTCTTTCTCCAATAGAAGGGTGGGCTGGCAGTGTTAATGACATGTGGGCTAATAACTTGGAGGTTCCCTCCCTTCCCCCAGCCACTCTTTGAGCCAAATGTCTTGACTCTTCCTTGCCGTGAGCCTAGTTTCAGAGGAGATGGAGACCGGTGCCTCTGGCATCACCCAGCTATCTGCTCTGCTTGGATTCTTCTCTTCTTTTCTCCTCTGAGCTTTTCCTTCAGCAAACTGCCTTGGATGGGCTGAGGGCTAGCCTGGACTTCAAAGGCAAACAGGCAAAGCAAAGGAACCCAGAGACAGAAAGCGGGTGTCAAGCGCAGCCAGGCAGCTCTTCACGGGGAGCTGATTTTTATATATTTAGGACACCATCCAGCTAACACGGTGCACTACCAGTGCAAAGATTCCCCCCCTGCACCCTCCCCAGGTCTGCTTTGGAGGGTTGGGGGAACCCCAGAATGGGTTTAGGGGGCACACGGGGGAGCGGGGTGTGTGTGTGTTTCTATTGTGCAAGTGGAAATCCTTGTGGTGGCAGGATGGTTAACTCTGCACTTCTTTTGGAAACAAACCATCATTTCTGTGCTATCCCTGTAACTGAGAATTAGGAACAGAGAAGATGATTTTGAAAAGCCATTGTAAATATGTGAGCAGCCCACAGATTAAGATGTAAAGAGTTGTAGAAAAGCTCCAGGCAAATGTGGGTGGTGCTGTGGAAAGGGGCCTTGGAGGGAGAAAAGGGGCCTAAAAATACCACATTTGATCCCCAGGTGAGCTGCTCTGGAGAGGGCATTCCCTGAATGGGGCACCAAGACATCTCTGTCCCTGGCAGCTGCCCACCTGAGGCTGCCCCCAGCCCCCTCCTCCTCCCACTTCTTTTTAGGGTGAAGCCAAAGAAAGCAGGGCAGCGCCTTGGGCTTTGGGTGATCTGGGCTCCAAGGCAGGCAGGGACTCAGCAGAGGTTCTCAAGGGTTGTTGGTTAAGGGACTTTTACCTCTTTTGACCCTCGTGGTATTTCCTTCTGACTTCAGACTGTGGCTGGCTAAGGGGTTGCTTCGTGAAGCTGCAGCCCAGATGGTGGAATCAGACCTGGGCCTGAATTTGAGTCCTGGCTCTGCCTTAGTTTACTTGTTAAGGACCATTTCTATACCATTTGATATATAAAAAAATCTCTACGACAATTAAAAACACGGCAAAACTATTAGTAGAAACTACTAAAACAATTAAAGTTACTACCAAAGCAGTTAAAGCAAAAAACAAATGAGATAAAGCATTGTAATATACTCAGGAGGAAGTGTCAGTGGCTATACAAAAGCAACACTTAATCTAGCTTTTACTGTTTTGAAAACTGGAACTTTATGCACCGCCCTGCCAACAGTCATCTTTCACCACTGAGCTTCTAGTCCTGATGGCTGAGGTGGGAATACGTTTGAAAAAGTGACTGGAGCAGATGCTAAAGCTGCAATGCAAAAGAGTCAAGGTTTTTTTGTTTTTGTTTTGTCTTTCTTGAATGCAGTTTGGGCCTTGAATGGGAACCGTATGGGGTGGATGAAAGCAAGGGCTGTGGATCAGGGTGACCTGGCAGAGTCACCTGGCTGGTTGGTGTGGTTACCCAGCCTTTTCATTAGATAGAGCTGCTCCTGCCCCTCCCTTGCAGCACATGTGGGGAGGAGGAGATGCCTAGAGTTTCCACCCAGCCAGAATTGTACAGGCCTGACCAGAATTCTGTCCTTTGGGCCATTTGCCAGAACCAGGAGAAGGCAAATGCCTGCCAAGCCAATGCTTGCTGTTATTGTGCTCTAATCGTCACAGGGCCTGCCCATACGCCAAAGGGATTGGGGGGGCGTGCTTGTTGGGTGTTGTGCATGCACAGTGTGCTGCCCGGTGGGGGGACGGGGGACTCTGCCCCAGAGCAAGAGGAACACGGAAGCAACTGCTGCATTTTGCAAGGCGTGCGTTGTAGTCTGTTTCAGAAGGCTGTGCTTCTATGTTGGCAGGTCCCACTCCTGAAGGCTTGAGGCTCCTGCATGATCTGGAACCTTGCCCTGTGGGATGCAGTACAACTGCATCTCAAGTGGGGGTTTGCTCCCAAGGATTCTGCATATGCCCAAACCCTTGGAGCTGCTTCCATGTGAGCAGCCCACAGCTTCCCTCCACTCCCACACAAGCAAGGCAGAGAGTTTTCCCAGCACAGAAGAACTTTTAAGCCCTCTGCCTTGCTTGGAGAGTGCTGGCCCCAGAGGCCCTGAGATGCTCTCATGAGATCTTGTGGGGCTGTCTGAATTCCCATGAGAGCTGGTGGGAGCATCCCAGACCTTGCTTCCCAAGGAAAAGCTGGTGCAAAAAGAGCTTCGAAGCTCTCCGCCTTGCTTGCATTTAGCTTGTGGGATTTCAGCCAGTGGCCTTCAACCACGTATAATTGAAATCATGCAAGTTAAATGCGTGTAAGATGCAATGGTACTGTATAAATGTAATGAGTAAATAAATGAAATGTAATACAGTTGTTGGGTTGCATTGTAGCTGATGTGCATAGGTTCCCTATCAGATGTCTGTGTTCAACCCACTGCCTGTGTATGTGTATGTACCTGCTGGTGCATCTCTATTTATGTATTTCCAGCATCTTCTGAAGGGCTGCGTGTGTTGCATTTTCCCAGCTGCCATGTGGGTACACCAGCCAGCCCAAAGTACACCTGGGCCTTCTTAGTGACAAACGTGAAGCATCGTCTGTTAGCGGCTCCAGGCATCTTGTGAAGATGCATCTTTTTGCTCAGGCTTTCCCTGACTCGTGAGATTGGACTCCAGGGCTGTGCAGCCCTTTCCCAACCATCAGGAACATGCCTTATGCAGCTTCAAATGAGTGGTCGACCCAGCACAGTATTGCTTGCACAGACCGGCAGCAGCTCCCCAGGGTTTCAGGCCAGAGCCCTCCCAGGAGAGTCTGAGGATTGAACCTGGGACCTACTCTGAGTTACACCCCATCCTTTCTTTGGAAGGAAGCGAGGAGGCGCTCTGATTCCTGGCCATTTGGAAGTTCCTTCGTATTCAGCCACACAGGCAGGGTCTCCGTTGCATCTCTTGCACTATGACATGTTAAGTCACTTTAGGGCATCCCAGAGAGGCTCTTTGGCTGCTGGTTTTCTAGTGGGGCTCACAACTATTCTGCAAAGTTCCTTGCTGTTGGTGACTTCTGTTAGCACCAAATCTTCCAAGGCAGCCTTAGCAACTCTCCAGATGCTTGTAAATCAAATCAAATCTTTATTATTAGGGTCAATGACCAGCATTGAACTAGATCCATTAAACTACAACTCCCATCAGCCCCAGCTAGCACAGCCATATATGACACAGGGGCTGCTGGGGTTTTTAGTCTACAGCACCTGGAGATAACCAGGTTGCAGCAAGCATAGGGCAGGGCAGGCTGCGCTGGGAGTCCAAAGCCACTTCCTTGTTCCTGGCTCAGAATGGAGACTTCTCCAAGAAGCTCGTCCCTTGATCCAACTGTTGACAAGGAGGAAACCTTAAAAACCACAAGGAGTGCTGTGATCTGGTGGAACTTTGCATGTGGGTTTGACTGAGGCTTGCAAGAAAGCTGTTAATTAAGCTGGGGAGTTGGGGCAAGCCAACACTGTTAATTAAATGCAAAATAGGGAGGAGTTAGGCCAGCAAGAGGCAGAAGCGGCTTGAATTGGAAATCCAGTTGGATGCTCATTTTTAAGAAGAACCCAGACTTGGAGAAGTCAGCTGATTTTGCCACTGGTGTCACTCCAGAGAGGGTCAGACGGAAACACTCATGGCTTAGGCCCCTTTGTGCACAACTGCAGTGCTGTGGGACCCTTTTTTGTGTGGCATGATCCCACATGGCTGTGGATGGCATCTGAAGAACCCATCCATGTGGCCGGGGACCCATGTGTGGCTGTTTCCCTTGCCAGGGGTGCAGAGGGACAACTTGTGTAGGAAACACAGGAAGCTGCCTGTGTCAGACCGTTGGTCCATCTAGCTCAGTATTGCCTACACTGACTGGCAACAGCCCTCCAGAGTCTCAGACGGTAGACTCTACCAG